CATGGTTTAGGATTTGGTTTGAGGTTTAGGGTATGTGGCTTAAGATTTGAGGCCTAGGCTTCTATAGTTTTATGGGGTTTCGATTTTGAGGTTTCAGGGGACACCCTTTGCTGTATAGTAATACAAATCTTTCAGATTTATTTTTGCTTTCCTCCCCTAGCAGGTTGCGGGCCTTTAAGGGAATTTCCAAAGAATTGGGGGGGGGGGTCCATTTAAGTGGGTTTCAAAGGTTATAGATGGATAGTCCAAGCACAGGGTTTTAGGGCACAAAGACTATAATCTGAATGGTGTTTGGGACCTAAAGCTCCAATATTAGACCCTGAGGGTAAGGATGTCGTGCTCAAGGTATGGTAGTTTTCCTTTCTGGCAGCTGGGCTTCCTGGCCCCCGCAAAAGCTTAGTTCCGCTCTCAAAGATATATTGGTAGATGGAGATATATACATATATGCTATTCTTAGGGTTTAGGTAGGGTTTAGGGCATTCTCAAAGCGTTACAGGTTCCCAACTGGGTTTCTAAAGTCAGGATTTCAATTCTTTTGGGTGTGAAAGCTGGACCCCGTTTTCAAAGACTCATATTATTCAGCTGGTGGTGGTGGACAAGCTGTTGCATGACTCTACACAGACTATGCCACAATAGTCTGACAGGTTTTGGGTTTTGTTCAACAATGGTAGGGCATACGTCTGAGTTCAAAGGGGTTTGCATTCGGGAGTTCATTGGCTTAGCATGTGGAGCTTCTGGCTCAAGATATGATTTGAATTTGTCGGCGTAAAAGTCAGAAGAGTCGGGGAGAAACATATCTGGGAATGCCAGCGGGCACTTAAAGTACCACAGCTTTACAGTGGCCAAGAAGGGAGTAGATTCTACTTTCAAATTGTCACTGGGGCGTTGGAGATTCCGATGCCTTGCCGGTGCTGGGGACATTGTACATCCGAAAACCCCGGGGAGTGGTCTCAAAGCTATTTTCACAGGCTAGCCAAAGAAAAAAAACAACAGAAACTCATGCCCTGAGACAAGGACTATAACGTGAAGTTCGATAGTCGCAAAACCTAATGGTTCCACAAAGTTGCCTAATGGTTCCTCAGCTATCATTTGTATTTATTGTTCTGTTTAGGTACGGCTTCAAGTTCTAGACGATGTCCAACAATGGCACGAATGAGGCGTACTTCCCATGCCCTGAGACATAGAGTAGTTTCCATTTTCTTTTCCATTATCCGTACATAATCCCTATATAACCCAAATAAAACCTAATGTTGAACTCTGATCAGCCCAAGCCACAGCTTCATCGTCAGAGGTATCCACCACGTTGGGCATGGGGAACTCCTGCGGGCGCCATGACTTTGGAATTGAAAGCTGGCAAGCCTCTGCATGTAACAGTGTGAATCTGTGGCTGATTGTTATCTTGGGTAGATCTTCTTGCCCGCCTACACAGCTGGCATGGCAGATCAATGCACCTCAAACAAACACCGCATAAAGAATTCACGCTATGAGATTGCAGAACTACTGGAGCTGCCCCGTATGTGGTAACCTTTCTTGTGGTTGAAGCAAGGAAGACTGAACTCTTCTTATAGAGCACGGTAACCAAAAGGAGGATACTATTATATTCTACGTTGGAGACACTTGTGCCGCTATGCCTCCAACACACCTCGGAAAGCTCAGGGGTTCTACGCCTCCCGCTCTCACCACACTTGCGGGCCACTCTACAGTTGCAAATGTTCAGTGTGCTATAAAAACATGCATCCGTTTCCTGCCGAATAACGCGTGGCGTTCAAGAAGCAGCTTCATGGAGGGGAGCTTGATGGATACTGAAGTGTGGGGATATCACTACCATGCTCCCAACGGATGCCGACTTACAACACTACATGGCTCTCCGCTTGCGTGCCCTAGTTCTGATCCTATATAAGCCCTAGCATCAAGCCCTAATCAAGCCCTCAACCCTGATCCCCCCAAACTCAGCTCCTTCTCGATCTGTCCCATTCGCGCTGATTTCAGGTTGAAAAGGGAAGCCCCGATGCAAATGAGACCGAGGATGACGGACATGAAGCCGACCTCTAGCCCTACTTTTCGTTTCAGGGTAATTACAACCCAACTATACCTGGCAGTTATGACCCGGGTATGATTTATCATGGCATGACCCTACATTCCGGCAATTATAACCCAATTCTAACTAGTTGCAACCTCAGAACCGTATTATAGCATGGCACTGCGTTCCTGAAATACACGCGCAGTATATACCAGGTTTGGGGATCAGGGTTTAGAGCTTTTGCAATGTGGCGGAAGCACTGTCGTCATTCTCTACGCTGCCTTGCACGGTTGACGGTTGACACTGCTTGTATCATCGTTACCACTGCTGACACAAAATCTGATAGCGTCTCCTTGCCAATGTCTTGTCAGGACACGTCCTCGCGGTAGTAGCATGGGCTAGAGGAATTATGAGAGGGTAATCCCGCATCACGATCAACCCCCAAACCCCGAACAAAAAAACACCACCGCCTAGTACCGGTGTATTAGAGGGGAGATATTCATTTTTATGGGAGTGAGGAACCCTATACCCTAGGGGTTTCCATTTTCTTTTCCATTATCCCTATATATTATTGGGGTATTATCCCTATATACCCCTTAACCCCTATCAGGGGCAGAGATTAGCATTCTAGGTGGAAGTAAAGTCAGGCTCGGGTGTCAAGACAGGGTACGGGCAGAAAGGTAAAACGAGTGCGCACAAGGACCCTTGAAACGACATGGTTTGAGGTCTGGGGCTAAGGGAAGGCTATAGGCTGCAATCAAGGCTCAGGACAACAGTTGGTCGAGAACTTCTATGGAATTGTTTGGGTAGTGCTGCTAGTCAAGAAAGCTGGTCTTTGAAACTTTCTTTTTGCCACCTTCCCCGGTTGGACCCAACGAAACATCGGGCGTCTCTACTGGGCAAATTCATGGAGATGACGCGGAATGGGTATTGTGTGGGAATATCCGCTTTGGGACATGCCCCTTTGTCTTACGGGGATCTAAGTCTCATGCAGTCCATGGACCCCACCAAACACAAAAAGGTCGGTTTCATACCCATCGTTTGCCGCGCTTCACGGCTAGAAAGTGTAGATTTCATTGGCCAAAGGGATTTGCATGCCAGGTGACGGAAGACTACCACCAAAAAATGCGGAATTTTGGATGTTTATGCAATCCTCTCAGCACTTCGGCTTCGCGCTTTTTAGGCGTCTC